CTCATCGCTTAATGCCTCTGAATCTGCTGATGTCAGGAGAGCCGCAGAGAACACAAAGAAAAAAGCCACAAGTGAGTTCCCACAATATGATTAAGCCCAGAACTCATTGTGAAATGCTAATTACAACTCAGCCATAGTCAACCTTGCTAGACAGTTGCAATCCCTTCGCCAATAGAGACATAGCCATGCTGGCTAAACTCACCAGAACAAAATTAAAACAGTAGGAACATATAAAATTGGCCTGGTTATTCAGGATGATCACTATAGGCCACAGAGAAGTTGATCCAAATCCAGCTGTAATCTAAAAACTCGCCGTCTTTGGACACTTCATTCTGAGTGCTTTTTATTTATGAACTACAATCTGTGTTTAACGGAGCATGTAATATTCGGGCTCATTGAAATGCTCGCCCCACTTCCAGCATAATGTGGGTTTCTGCAGGCAGAGTAAAAAGCCAAAGCCCCTAACATGCCCCAATGCACAATTTAAATGCCAAGAGAGTTTCATAACTTGAGAGGGACACAAAAAAAGAGGATTTATTTTAAACTAAATGTTGACCCAATATCAGAAAAGCTGTCTTAGATATCAGAATCTGTTTGAGGCATTCAAATGAAAACTTGACATCAGCAATAGATAAAGTTTTGTGCAATCTACTGGAATGGTTTTCATTTGTATTGACAGAGAATCTCCATGTGAGAACATCACAGACACAGTGCAAACGAATACAATCCCACACACAGAAACCACAGATGTTTTTCCATATTGACTGATATCAAACCACAGCAGTTCACACTGAAAAACACCTGTCAAAAGGCACTTGTAAATTTATGAGAATATTTATATCAGTTCTTTTATAGTAAGACCTAAATGACCCAAATAATACAAACATTTACCTTTTAGCTTCTATTCTACCTTCTATTTTGATAAAAAACCAATTCTAAAAGAATATCAAATGAATGCATTGTTTTATTTATTGGTATGAAACTTTACAAATGTGATATAGCAGTATAACAATTTTAATATATAATACCATATGACAAAAACACTTTTTAGTACAATTATTTTGATTTACTTATATCAGTGTCAAAAATATAATAAAATATATAAGCATTCAGAGTCATGTTCATTTAACAATTTTTGTATAATCTGAAAAGGAAAATGCAATAATAATATAGTAAAATTGATATTCATATTCATAAATTTGTTATTTCTTTACATTCTTCACACGTTTTGTTAATATGATGTTCCTTATTAGATACTATATTGTCTTTGTGTAACATAAAATTATAAATGCTTCATTAAATACATTTATTTGGATTCAAATGGGCTCTCGACGCAGTAACAGTGTAGATTTTATTTTATTAAAGACACTGCATGTCATCGTCACCAACAGAAGAAGCTTATTCAAAACAGAAAAAAAAACATACTGTACATTGATGATAGAGTTGGGCGATGTTGACCAATTTGTGCCTGTGTGTGTGTATCTGTATGTATGTGTGTGGTCACGTGATGTGCGTTTTCAGCGGTAGTGTGTAAGGAGGGCTGCTCAGAAATGCTAGATGAAATATCTGAGTGGATGGGAATGTTTTCATTCTAAAATGCCATTTAAAAACTATGACCTATTAGTGTAAACAGGGCCTGAGTGTGTATTTTTCGCGAGCGGATTAGCAATGGGAGCGGGGCGGAGGATCGCGATGCCGGCTCAGCATCTGGTGTCCAACCCTAATTGATGATGTGGAATATTGGGAGTTGTCGTCTTTACATTCTACAAACTCTTGCAGAAATCATGTTCACCGATGAGCTAAAGTATTCAATACTTATTAGCATGGTAGTATGAAGAAGAGTAAGGCTGATGGATGTGGCGCAAAAGCAGCGGAACATTTATTATGCCACAGTCGACCCCTTCCGGTTCTTTAGGTTATGATCATTTGAAAAAATTACAGTTTTATCACATTAAATACAATAATAATAATTTGTACAACATATTACATGGTATTTGGTGTTTTTCTGTATCCTACTAAAAAAGTCCTGAGCATTTTTTTCAAAAAATGTTTTATTAATTCTAATAAAAAAAGAAATTTATAATTTCTATATTTCTTAAATCATCTTTTTTTATTGAAAATGTATTTGTCATTGAATCGATGGCAGAATAATTAAGAAGCTACTGTCCGACCATATGGTGATGACGCGCCTCATTAGCCTCTTACATGCGAGTGAAGTAACATAATAACAATAGCAGTACCATTTTCTTTTAGATTAGTTCAAATTAGCTGTCAGTCACTCAGTCACTGCTTTTTGCTGTCAGATGACAGGGTGCTATGATTGTGGAAAATGCAAAGGGCTAAAGAAGGGAAAATGAAAAGAAATAAAGGTTAAAGCCACATAGGTTACCAATAATGGCGCCGTCGCCGATAGTAACGATGATCTGTTTGCCAAGAGAGCATCCAGAAATCAGAAATAGTGCTCAGAAGACACATATTGGATCCTTTAAAAAAAACTCGATACATTAAAACTTACCATACGTTATTCGGAAATTACAGCTAAATGTAAAATTCAATATTGCATAAACCATTGCCAAATAAACTCACATTTACAAAGTTAAAAGTCAGATTGCAGCTCATGAAAACTATATTGTGCAAGTCCGTGGTGGCCTATATGAATATTAATTGTCCATTTAATTACTGATGACTTTGCAGCTTATAATTTTTTAGAATCATTACATTATATTTGGTTTGTTGTGTAGCAAAAACTTTGTTTATTAAATTGACAAGAATATAAAAACAATAGTGCTAAAAGTGCGTTTTATACTGCAATGCTTAATTTTAGTGCTGTCAAATGATTAATCACGATTAATCAAATCTGAAATAAAAGTATATATTTGTGTGTACTCTGTGTATATTCATATATGTATGACTATATTGTATAAAATATTTGTAAACATATATATTTATAAATATTAATATATCATATAAATTATATATAAATATATTTATTTTCTATATTTTTGCATATTATTTGATGTACAGTTTGTGTGTGTATTTATACATATCCACAAAAATAATACAGTACTCACATATATATCATGTAAACAGAATTTTATCTTGGATGCGATTAATCAATTAATTTTTGACAGCATTACTTGGCATGGTTGGAAAACTATTTTGAAGGTATAATACAGTGGTTTCGAAAAGTCAAGGCGCTAAAACCACCAACATTTTCTGTCATACCAATCCTAAAGTATATAAGAATATACTTTTTGGTTATTTTAGGACAACAGTACAGTATCTCCATCAAAACAAAATCTCCAAAGATACTATTTTAAATTGTAAAGAAATCTGTGTTTTTAAAACTAATGAAGACAGCAGAAGTCAATTACTTATTTTAACTATTTAGCCTGACATGTTTACTGCTCCAAAATATTTTAAATGTTTCCCAAATTAAAATATATCATGTTCAAGGGGGAAACAGTTTTAGTTTTTTTACCCAGACATTTAAAAATAATATATTTTAGAGCAGTAATTACAACACCATGAAACTGTGTTAATTTTATCCAAAGATATCATAGTCATAATCTTATACCGGTCCATGTCTAGCACTACTTAATTTTAGTTTCAATTAAAATCATCATTTATTTTTCCTAATGGAACAGTTCAACTCTTTGTAGCAGAATGTTTTTTATTAATATGTGCCAGCACACTCAGAGCAGCAAGATGGAGAGGAACTTTATTTATTATTATTAGTACTATTATTTATTGGAGATTTAATTTGCAATTATTGCATCAATAACAACAAGTAATTGCAGAATTAGTTAAAATGTTGTTTCTGGATTTTTGTTAGTCCTCATTAGTGTTGTTTTCAAACACACTTAATCCATTAATACATGATTTGTAGTAGTGGTACTCATTCATTTTTGGTGGGTTATTAAAAAAGCTCATTTGGAGCCCTGTTTACATTTGGCATGTCCTGAGAATACAACGTTCATCAACCAGATGCTTGTCAAGTTAGTAATAAAGAGAATGTTATTCAGTCATGTTATCATACTTTTTCAAATGACTAATTACACACAGACCAAAAAATAATTGTGAATTGGTTAAAATTTAGAAGAAAAAAAGAGAGATTTTAATTTATTGTCATATTGCCCAGCCTTACTAATCCAAACCGGAAATCGAGGGTATGACATCATAAGCGTGGTGACAGTACACACACTGTTTTACTGATTAAAATGACTTTGGATTTTTAACATTATTTTTGGATATTTGAATGAACATAATCTTACATATTGTGCCTTTAAATGGAACAAAAATACCCTAGATTTCTATTGTTTTGTCTGTTGTTTGCACTGTCTACACAGCAAGTCAGCCAAGCAGTCATTACCTGTTTATGCCTCTAAAATCAGTATCAATAAAGGATTCAAAAACAGACAGACAAAACAGCAGTAATGACCCGAAACAGCCATTATCTTCTGCATTCCATCACGCTTTGATAGCTGGAATCCTGCCACAATCACCCCATTACTCTCCTCTATTTTCCTCATTCACGCTGCTGTGAATCCCGGCTGTGTGTGAGTGCGAGCGTGTGGGTTTGCTCTTCATGTCACACAGAGCAAAGCAAATGCTGTAGGTTAAATATGGTAATAAAATGTGATGCTCGCTGGATGTTATGGGACACTGGGGGAGGATTAGCGCGGGGAAACATGTTTTGACAGCACACTGAGCCAAGACTAGTGCAAACACAACACATTCCCAATCCGCTGCCATTAGTCTGACAGGTCTGAGGTAATATTCAACAAGTTGGAGAGCTTTGTTTTCCCTCAGTAAGACATCTCAACCCATTACGGCAGGAAGTTTAATTGCTGCCTTAAAATTTCACTTCACTTTCTGCATTAATGAAGACAAGTGAGTTGAATACGCATCCAAGGAGCATTATGACTGAAATAAAGATCTCCGTTCACAACATTGCATGCATTATGGAGAATTAAATGAAGAAAGTCTATGCCTCATACCGAGCAGCAGGAGTTTGACCTCTCTGGATGCTTTCTCTCCGTCCTCTCGCAGGGTCCGGTCAATCATCTTACTCTTCTCCATCGCGGCTTTATCTTCAGTGCTTAACGTGCAACCCATTTTTCCAAATGTTTATGAATCGAGTGATGAAAACCTTTGAAACTGAACGTTGTATTTTTCTCGCTTAAAGAATAACACAGAGAGAAAAGGCGTTGGCAGGTTCGCACGCGGTGATGCTGCCAGTGTCTAATAACGGACACTTTAAAACATTAAAACGGCGGTTCCGACAACATCAACGTAACTACGGAAAGAGCGCAATGGGTCCAATGCTAGAACCCCGATAATAACGTTTCCTTGACTGAAAAGTTTCCACCGTTGAGGGTTTGCGGAATGAATGCCAGTTTAAGTTTTTCTCTCAAAAACGATATCCAAGACTTTACGTAAAACATGTAGATAAAGGTCTCGAAGTGGACTTGCGCTGTTAACGATTCGGTGTTTTTGAACAAATCTTTTAGATGAACGAGTCGTTCTCGTTCACTTCCATGCGCGCACTCACATGTTTGGTTCGATGAAGTCTCTCCCCTTTGAAGCGCGTGACCGCTTTTCTGCCTTCAAAGACTGAAGCGCAAACCAACAGGGGTTGACTACGGCTTGTTGGGGAGCAATATTATTGGTTGGACCTACTGAGGGAACGCGCCCACGTTACTAAACGAGTCAGTTTTAAATCTGAACGAGAATCGGAGCTGCAATAATAGTGGATGATTTTGTTTGTGAACAAATGGCATCTAAAATACCCCAGCCCGTTGAAATAATACAACAACAACAAAAATGCAGCGTCTAAACAAAAAAAGTATATATATATATATATATATATATATATATATATATATATATATATATATATATATAACCAGGCCACTGTCATTGTTTGGATATAGAGCCCAATTCTGCACTGCAGTGATTATAAACATCAAGTTCCACACAACATCCTGCTAATTCAACAGTTTTTTAGCATCAAAATGAAATAAAATGGCTATATCAGGAAAACAGACACATGATTATCATTTTTTTTTTTTTACATTCACACAGGTGAGTGGGCTTAACACCTGTAGAAAAAAACAGTAACCCCTTACTCTGACATTTAATTGAGCACTAACAGTTACTATATAATTAACACTTCTTGTGTGTACTGCCTCTTATTGAATTGCTGAAAGTTTCCTCAATTGTAAGTCACTTTGCACAAAAGCGTGTGCTAAATAACTACATGTAAATGTACAGCCACTAGGGGGGCATTCAAAACATTAAGGCACATTTGGGATATATGCAGATGTGAACTTTTTCTTACACTTCATTAAGTTACAATTTCTAAATTGGTAATTCCGACATGGCATTCTTTTGCACAGGAATCTCCTTGTTTTCGAATGTTTACATGCCCTTGCTCCTTCCTACATCTCTGATCTGTTACCCAATCATCCAATAAGAGCTCTTATGTTTGCCAACCATAGTCTGTTGATTCAAAATTGAGTCAAAATTAAAATGAAGCTGATCTTGCTTTTGCCACAGCTGTAGGGGTGTAGCAACCAGGGGGATGGGGGGACATGTCCCCCTAACTTTTAGAAAGAGGTGATTCTGTTTCCCAACTCCCCCACACCTTTTTTTTTTTACCAAACTCTAATATTTCCACCCGTGTTCTCCAACATTTATCATTTTCATGCCACCTCATAAATATTTTTCAAGATTTGCCCCTGTCGGGTTCTGCTGTATTTTGTTGCCCAAGTATACTTCATCAAATTTTATTCTTTTAATTTATTACTGTTGTGTCCTAACAGGTAGAATTTGTATAAAAAAGGAAACTGACTGTTTTAAGGCAATGTTTTGGAACTGATTGCCAATATTTAAAGGAACTATACATTGATATCTTCAAAAGCAAAATGGTTATGCGTAACATTCGGGTCACATACAGCTGTCTCCCCACTTTTAAAATGACTATTACGCCCCTGGCTGTAACTTTGGTTAGTAAAAAACATTTCTTTTCACTATTTCATATGTATTGGGAAGTCATTTGTTGATTTTATGGTGTACACTGAAAAAAATTCAAAGATGATTCCTTGGATTTACAAAATTTTTATAAAGTTATTATGATAATGCTATAATGCTATAATATAATATAGTTATTAAAGTTAAGTGGTTGTAAACAGTTTACTTGGGCTGAATTTAAACAAACAAATTAAGTTGAACATTAATAACTTTCATTTGTTTGTTTAAACTCAACAAAAATATTGCTTGCAACAATTTTGCAGACAATTTTTTTAGATTTTTTATATTTATATATTTTATAAGTTAGTATTTTATATCATTTATTATATTTACATTTTTAAAATATTTTTTTTATATTTTTAACTGTTTTAGAACATTTTACAGCACATTTGTCAACTTTATATGACAAAAATGCACCTTAAAATAGGGTTAAAATTCTATAAAATGTGCAGACTGTTTAGGATAGAATTAAGCAAAACTGGCATTTAGTTATCCTTGTTTGTTTACTCTCTTTCAAATGTGCTGTGCGTTATAAGTTGAGTCAAGAAGTTATCAAGAATGTGTATTCAGCAGCTGCCGGAATTTAAAATATTTTCTAGCTTTAGACTCCAATCGATTTAAAATGCAGCTTTGCAGGGAAAAAAGATTTATTCAGCGAATATTCCACATAATTGTGCTTTATTTAGGCAAAATAATTCAATTTATTGGAAATTGTGTAGTACAATTTGTTTTGTTATTGCTTTTAAAACTAGACTGAACTCACCAGACCAGTTTTAGTATGAGTTTTCTTTTTAAATTTCCCCTACTTTTAAATACAGCTCAGTGCATGTTTACAGACAAACAAAATAAAAATAAAAAATTGCTGTGTAAAGTGATGCAGCAGGTTATGACGAAAAGGGTCTTTTGCTCATAAACGTACTCCCTTAGCCAGAGAAATGTCACTGAGGATAAGTTGTCATGGAAACACCAAGTCCCACAGTGGTGCAGAATAAAGCCTGTGTTCCGCCACTGAATCACAGTTGAGCTGAGTCGGGATTTGTTTAGTCTCACTGTGGATCTCGGACTTAAGAGCAGGAATGTCCGTGTACCTGCCGGCAAAGCCAGTGTACTGATACTTCCAAAATGTTTACCTACAGAAACACTTGTTTAAGAACTGGGAACTCTGTTATATATTAAACCATTATACCGCTTTCTAAAATCACATGAAATCAGACTACTGATGATTTATTCATCTGTTCATTTAATATGTGATGCCACCTGCGGGATTTATCCCTAATTTACCAGGTATTAATAATGTATACAGCTTTCAACATGACTCATATTATTAACTAATTAGAAGGATAGTTCACTTTAAAAAAATTTTGCTGTCAATATACTCCAGCTCAGGACATCCAAGTATATGAAAGTGATTCGTTTTTTCTTCAGTCGAACATTAAAGAAGATTTTTTTGCTGAAAATGTGATCCTTGCTAATTAATATGATTTATATAAGAATTAAAATGATCGTTTTTCTGGGTTGAGCTTGTAATTTATGGTTGAAATGAGTATCCAGTACTTTTTTGTGATTTACCATTATTTCTATACTAAGAGTTCAGAGTGCCAAGTGCTATCTGAAATTCTTTTCCTCAATCTCTTATGTTTGTATTCAGTAAAGTTTTATAACCTTTTAAAAGCCATAAAAGTGAAATAACTGAACCTACACACAGGAGCCAGAGAAAAATGCTAATTTTAAAAGATTATTTCAGGAATTTACAGGATTTTGCACTTGAACTCTTCCTACATAGATTCAAATTTCAAAGTTATTATCAGTGGTTTGTGTTTTGTAAAAAAAAAATTGTTTCAAATTTGTCAAACTAATGATAATGTCTTCAAATTTTCAGTTAGGAATTTAAAAAATAATAATAATAAGTATGTGTATGCATGTATTTGCAAGAAATAAGTGTTTATATATATTTTTAAAAGTGTTAAATAATAACAATATGTTTTCAGACCTTTTACACTCACCGGCCACTTTATTAGGTACACCTGTCCAACTGCTCGTTAATGCAAATTTCTAATTAGCCAATCACATGGCAAGCAACTCAATGCATTTAGGCAAGTATACATGGTCAAGATGATCTGCTGCAGTTCTAACCAAGCATCAGAATGGGGAAGGAAGGTGATTTAAGTGACTTTGAACGTGGCATGGCTGTTGGTGCCAGACGGGCTGGTCTAAGTATTTCAGAAACTGCTGGGATTTTCTACTGGGATTTTCATGCACAACCATCTCTAGGGTTTACAGAGAATGGTCAGAAAAAGAGAAAGTATCCATAGAACTGCAGTTCTGTGGGCGCAAATGCCTTGTTGATGGCAGAGGTCAGAGGAGAATGGCCAGACTGGTTCCAGCTGATAGAAAAGCAGCAGTAACTCAAATAACCACTTGTTACAACCGAGGTATGCAGAAGAGCATCTCTGAACACACAGCACGTCCAACCTTGAGGCGGATAGGCTACAGCAGCAGAAGACCACACTGGGTGCCACTCATGGCAGCTAAGAGAAGGAAACTGAGACAACAATTCGCACAGGCTCACCAAAATTGGACAATAGAAGATTGGAAAACCGTTGCCTGGTCTGATGAGTCTCGATTTCTGCTGCGACATTCATCCGTTTATGACCACAGTGTACCCATCTTCTGATCTCAAAAGCAAATCATCTCAGACTGGTTTCTTGAAAATGACAATAAGTTCACTACACTCAAATGGCCTCCACAGTCACCAGTTTTCAATCCAAAAGAGCACCTTTAGGATGTGGTGGAACGGGAGATTCACATCATGGATTTGCTTCCGACAAATCTGCAGCAACTCATGATGCTATCATATCAATATGGACCCAAATCTCTGTTAAATATTTCCAGTATTTCCAGGTCGATTAATTCAGTTCTGAAGGCAAAATGGGGTCCAACCCGGTACTAGTAAGGCGTACCTTATAAAGTGGCTGGTGAGTGTATATTGGAGTAGATATGATATACATAGTTTATTTATGAATTAAAACACAAATGAAAAGTTTACTCAAAACATAGACCTAATAATAGCACGTCCAGGGATCTGCTCATTATATTCATAAAGTGGCCTCAATTATTGTGAGCATCAAAAGTAGTCATAGCGGAGAACACTTTCCCATAACTTTCCACATTAAATGTTCGTTTACTGTATGTATATTAATATGTATAGCCTATTAGTAAGTGTAGGAATATATTTGTATAAATTTGTAAAAGACTCTCAAATTTTTTGACTCATATTCGTTTCATATTAGTTTAAGCTAAAAATCATGTTTAATGCTGTATACAGTAACCTACATTGGGGATGGTAAAAGATATTTAAATCAACAGCAAATGTACATTTTTCACAAAACCATCCTTTTTCAGGTATACAGTTTGATATCACACCAGTTAAAGACCCTTTAGTAAATCACAGCACTGAATTTTCAACTCAGTACAATGCGACTGGAATAAAGTCGTCGTCTTTTCAAGCCTAAAATCCAATGCAGCCATAGCAGAGTGTCTG